ATTTTTTAGTAGAGACGGGGTTTCACCGTGTTAGCCAGGATGGTCTCGATCTCCTGACCTCATGATCTGCCCGTCTCGGCCTCCCAAAGTGCTGGGATTACAGGCGTGAGCCACCGCGCCCGGCCAATACAAGAATCTTGAATGTATAACTTAATTTGTCCCTATCCTCTGTGTTATAATTGTCATAGAGAACAACTACATATGATATAAACCCCACAATGGAGTGTTACAAAGTTTTTGTTAAATAGTTTTATGTATTTAAAATAAATTAAGAGAAGAAAAGGAAAAATACGGTTTTTTTAATAATTACTTGCATATTTATCATTTTAAGTGATATTTAACTCCTTCTAATAGATCCACATATACCATCTGATATTAATTCCTTTCATCCTGAAGAACTCCTTTAGCATTTCTCATAGTGTAGACAGAAAACTTCATCAGGTTTTGTTTACACAAAAAATGTCTTTATTCCACCTTCAGTTTTTAAAAATAGTTTTGCTGGAGATAGAATTATGGGCTGATAGGGTTTCCCGCCCAGCATATTAAAAATGTCATTCCGGCCAGGCGCGGTGGCTCACGCCTGTAATCCCAGCACTTTGGGAGGCCGAGACGGGCGGATCACGAGGTCAGGAGATCGAGACCATCCTGGCTAACACGGTGAAACCCCATCTCTACTAAAAAATACAAAAAACTAGCCGGGCGCGGTGGCGGGCGCCTGTAGTCCCAGCTACTCGGGAGGCTGAGGCAGGAGAATGGCGTGAACCCGGGAGGCGGAGCTTGCAGTGAGCTGAATTCCGGCCACTGCACTCCAGCCTGGGCGACAGAGCGAGACTCCGTCTCAAAAAAAATAAATAAATAAAAATAAAAAAATAAAAATGTCATTCCGTTGCCTTCTGGCTGCCATTGTTATTGGTGAGAAGTCAGTCATCATCCATGCCCTTGTTCTCTGAATATAATATGTAGTTTTTCTCTGACTGCTTTCAAGATTTTCTCTTTACTTCTTTTAACAGTTTAACCATGACATACCTATCCTGGCTTTCTTTGTATTCTTTTTAGGGTTTGTTGAGATTTTTGGACCTCTAAGTTGATATCCATCACCCAATGTAGAGATGTTTGGCCATTTTTCAATATTTTTTTTTCTTACATTCTTTTTGTCTTCTGGGACTCTGTTTACATATATATTAGACAGTGTGTTCTATCCATGTTTCTTCATATATTTTCTCCTCATTCTTCAGATTGGGTAAATGCTTTTTTTCTATCTTTAAGTTCACTAACTCTTTCCATTATCTCTGACCAGCTGTTGAGTGCATCTAGTTAAGTTTTTACTTCAGTTATTGCTCCACAATTTTTATTTGGTTCACTTTTTTTTTCTTAGATGGAGTCTCACTCTCACCCAGGCTGTAGTGCAGTGACGCGATCTTGGCTCACTGCAAGCTCCGCCTCCTGGGTTCACGCCATTCTCCTGCCTCAGCCTCCCAAGTAGCTTGGTACCACAGGTGCCCACCACCACGCCCGGCTAATTTTTTGTATTTTTAGTAGAGACGGGGTTTCACCGAGTTAGCCAGGATGGTCTCGATCTCCTGACCTTGTGATCCGCCCGTCTCGGCCTCCCAAAGTGTTGGGATTACAGGCATGAGCCACCGCGCCCGGCCTGGTTCACCTTTTATACTTTCTGTTTCTTGGTTGAGATTCCCATATGTTCATTCATTATGTATATAACTTCCTTTAAGTTCTTGAAGTTATTTTTAGTAGCTGCTTTAGTCCTTGTATGCTATCTATATCATCTGGATTATCTTGGGTTTGGTTATAATTAACTGCTTTTCTTTTTTCCTTTTATTTGTTACTCTTTCTCTTGAGTGTAGGTACACTTTCCTGTTTCTTTTCCTAGCTCATGATTTTTGCTGGGTCCTGGACATTGTTAATGATGTGTTATAGAATCTGTAGATTCAGCTGAGTTCCCCTGAAGGCAAGTGACTTGGCTAGATTCAAACTCTCCCTCCTGCAACAGGCAGCAGCTGAAGTCTTCACTTAATTTTTTTATCTTTGCCCTGCTGGTTTTTCCCCAAGATCCCTGGTATCTCCCCCACACCTTTGTGGTGTAGTTGCTTAGCCAAAGATTCAGGTGTATTTTGTAGGAAGATTTGGGGGCTCACCCCTTCTGTGGCTCTCTCTTTCAGAATCTCCACACCCCAGCATTCAGGACTCTGTCCTTTGACCCTTCAGGATAATGAGGCTGATGCTTTCTGGCACCCAAGCATTTGTGGATTGGGGCGTGCCCGCAGGCAAAAAGCCACAGACTCATTGGTCTGACCTATAAGACAGCACGTGGTAAATAGTGTGTTAAATTAGGGGAACAGGCTGGGCGCAGTGGCTCATGCCTGTAATCCCAGCACTTTGGGAGGCCGAGGCAGGCAGATCACCTGAGGTCAAGAGTTTGAGACCAGGCTGACCAACGTGGTGAAGCCCTGTCTCTATAAAAATACAAAAATTAGCCAGACATGATGGTGGGTGCCTGTAATCTCATCTATTCAGGGGGCTGAGGCGGGAGAATCACTTGAACCTGGGAGGCAGAGGTTGCAGTGAGCCAAGATCATGCCATTGCACTCCAGGCTGGGCGACAGAGCAAGACTTCATCTCAAAAAAAAAATAATAATAATAATAAATAATAAAAATAAATTAGGGGAACACATTCATGTATAAATGCCTGTGATGTGGAATAACTTGCATTCTGGAAGGTGCATTCTGGCCATGGTGGACAGACTACGGTCTCACCATTAACACTCTCACGGCCTCTTCTTACTTAAATAAGATGTGGAGTTTGGAGCAAAATTATTTCCACCTGCGGAACAAGGACCTGGTCTTAGTCAAGTCAGCATTCTCGCTTTATCACTGGTGGACTCCTTTCACAAAGAGGTCTAGTCAAATCATCTCCTTCTAGTATCATTGACACTACCCACTTGGCTTCAGATGGGAACAGCATGGTGGATGGTGGGCAAATGACTGATTTAAACATTTAAAGGAAACTGTGAATACAAGCAGCTTCCAACAGAAAAATTCCAAAGGTCAGGTCTGTCAAACACAGAAAGAATGAGTTGAGGACTCAGGAAATACACTATGGGAAATTTACAATCTTTTGAAAGAATGGAAGGTAGGAGGTGCAGGCTGCGTAAGGTTTAGTTAACGCCCCAGCCAATCACCGTGTGGCTCTGGGGCCATCTAGTGGTGAGAAGTGAGTCAGACTCACACAGAACAGAAAAATCCCGAGGCACTAGCCATGGGTCTCTGGGTCGCACCAAGGGTATTCGGGAGGGGAACTGGGGGTGGGGTGGTGGTAGTCGGAGAATAGTCCCCAACAATACAGATGTGATTGATCCAGCACACTCGAATTCAAACACACACATCCCTTTCTGTTTTCCTTAGGTAAATTAGTTTAATCTATTATAAGTTTGGCTTTTCGTTTTTGTCTTTTGGGTTTTTTTTGAGACGGAGTCTCGCTCTGTCGCCCAGGCTGGAGTGCAGTGGCGCGATCTCGGCTCACTGCAAGCTCCGCCTCCCGGGTTCACGCCATTCTCCTGCCTCAGCCTCCCGAGTAGCTGAGACTACAGGCGCCCGCCACCTCGCCCAGCTAATTTTTTTATTTTTAGTAGAGACGGGGTTTCACCGGGTTAACCAGAATGGTCTCGATCTCCTGACCTCGTGATCCGCCCGCCTCGGCCTCCCAAAGTGCTGGGATTACAGGCGTGAGCCACCGCGCCCGGCTTTTCGTTTTTAAAAGGCTTAAATTTTTTTTTTTCACTCGTTCTAAGAGATAAAAACTCTGGAGGTGATAGAGAAACAGAAAAGTTCTAGCAAATGTCTATTGTGTTCTATGTCATGTGCACCACGATGTATGCCTGAGGTTCAGTCCTCACTGCCCCAAGCAGGCAGGAGCCGTGGAGACCCCACATTGGGTGGGTGACATGCTCAGAGCTGGTGCCAGGACGGGGGACTGGTGTGCCTGATCACAAAGCCACCTCCCTACCCAAGTGTGTATACTTAACTATGTCTCAAATGCTCGACATAGCCGATTGTTTATTTAAAAGTGAAGACTGTTTGACTTTTAGCACTTTCATGGAACAAATTTATATTATCTGCCGCGATATTAAATGAGTCGTTTTATATAGAATTTTTAAACTACCTCTTTGAAAGATGTATGCCTCTGACAGCAAAGAAATACATGTTTATACTTTCTTGTGGGCAAAGATGGCTTTGAACAGAAGGCAGTTTTTACTTACTGCCAAAATCCGTGAGGGCTTTTATCCAGCCCAGGATAAAACGTACCATTTCTTTGCTCCCTCTGCGATCACCTTTTCTCTCGCTAGCCAGTGGTTCTCACGCTGTCCCCCAGGGGTCACTTGGCAATATCTGAACACATCTGTGATTGCCACAGCTTGGAGGGGGAGTGCTCCTGGCATGGAAGGGGTGGAGGCCAGGGAGGCTGCTCAGCACCCTGCAGTGCCCAGGATGGGCCTGCAATAGCAAAGAAGTATCCAGCTCAAATGTCAGTGGTGCCACAGTGGGGACACCCAGCCTTAGAGTATCTCCCATTGTCGTTTGGGGTGCAGTAGCTCCCCGGATGGCAGTCACCCACCCCGAGCTTTTGATTTGCTGGAGAAATGAGTAAACAATTGAGCCCTTCAAAATAGTTCAACCTGCTCAGACTTGGGCACAGAGCCGTTGTCCCGGCCTTCTGTTGAGGAATTCCTGCCATTGTGCGGTGACAGAGCTCTTTTTGGGGTTTATATTTGGAAAACTTTCTCTGGCCCCTCTCTCCTTGTGTGGGACAGTTGTGCAGGCTGCTCCCACAGCTCCTCACTTAGGCGGTACCGCCAGGGTCTCTGCCTTTCAACTTCGAAGAACGTAGCTGGTTACTCCTTCCCTCCCATGAACTTGTTAGTTGCCTCTTGGGGTTTCAGTGCTTGCAACCCTTGCCCACCCAATCTCTCTCCGCCTTTCTTTAGACCTGAGCATGCAGAATTCCGAGGGTGGAGCGGATTCGCCGGCATCCGTGGCTCTGCGTCCCTCGGCGGCAGCCCCTCCTGTGCCAGCCTCCCCACAGGTAATGTGCGCCCGCCCGCCGCTCAGCCTCTCAGCAACAACAGGGTGGCCACAGCGTGGACGCGATCCCTTTGGGTTTGAAGGCTGCTCGGATCTGCAGAGAGAGAAATCTGTATTTTTCTGAATGGACTTCTCAGCCCCAATGCTGCTGCTGTTGAAATAGGCACAACTTCCTTGACTGTATTTGGCTTTTTCAATCTTTCTTAAAAAGATTCCATCAAGGAAATGATGTCACCAATGGAAAAGAAACCACTGCCCCAAATCTTACTTGGTCTCTTCTTAGCCTTCAGTAGAGGTTTTCTTGTACTTGGAAATGACTCTTTTACACAGAAGTGCCTTATTAAGAAGGCAGGCCGGGTGCGGTGGCTCGCACCTGTAATCCCAGCACTTTGGGAGGCTGAGACTGGCAGATTACTTGAGGCCAGGAGTTTGGGACCAACCTGGGCAACATAAACAGACTCTTTCTCTAAAAAAAAAAAAAATAGCCAAGCGTGGTGGCCTGCACCTGTAGTCCCAGCTCCTTAGAAAGCTGAGATGGGAGGATTTCCTGAGCCTGAGAGATTGAGGCTGCAGTAAGCCATGATTGTGACACTGCATTCCAGCCTGGGTGATAGAGACCTTGTCTTTAAAAAATAAAAAATAAAAAAATTAGCCAGGCATAGTGGTGCACGTCCTGTGGTCCCAGCTACTGAGGAGGCTATGGTGGAAGGATTGCTTGAGCCCAGTGTGAGCTATAATCATACCACTGCTCTCCAGCCTAACCGATAAAAAAAAGAAAAGAAAGGCCAGGCGTGGTGGCTCATGCCTGTAATCCCAGCACTTTGGGAGGCCGAGGCGGGCAGATCACGAGGTCAGGAGATTGAGACCATCCTGGCAAACACGGTGAAACCCTGTCTCTACTAAAAATACAAAAAAAAAAAAAAATTAGCTGGGCGTGGTGGTGGGCGCCTGTAGTCCCAGCTTCTAGGGAGGCTGAGGCAGGAGAATGGCATGAACCCGGGAGGCGGTGGAGCTTGTAGTGAGTGGAGATCGCGCCACTGCACTCCAGCCTGGGTGACAGAGCGAGACTCCGTCTTTAAAAAAAAAAAAAAAAAAGGCAAAAGATGAGTTAGAATTATTTATTTATTTATTTATTTATTATTTTTTTGGAGATGGAGTCTCGCTCTGTTGCCCAGGCTGGAGTACAGTGGCACAATCTCCCAGGTTCAAGCGATTCTTCTGTCTTAGCCTCCTGAGTAGCTGGGATTACGGGCATGTACTACCACGCCCGGCTAATTTTTGTATTTTTAGTAGAGACAAGGTTTCACCATGTTGGCCAGGCTGGTCTCGAACTCCTGACCTCAGGTGATCCGCCCACCTCAGCCTCCCAAAGTGCTGGGATTACAGGCATGAGCCACCACGCCCAGCCTAGATGAGTTAGAATTCTTAAGATTTGGTTCAAAATGGAATCTAGCACCTGAATGAATATATTCTTTAAACTTTGCAGAGAGAGAATTTTCACATTAAGGCTCTCTCTGCTCCTGGATTTCTACCATGGAATGAAATAAGCCATAAAAAAGACAGAAATACCAAGTGAATGGCACTGGCCACATAAAACAGGCTGGAGGCTCATTACGTGTGCTGAGGTCCACTGTGGCCATGTGACCACCTCGATCTGGAATCTAAAAGTTAGGAGCACAGCAAAAAGAAATGATTATGGTTTAAAAACACATAATTCAGAGCCAGGCATGGTGGCACATGCCTGTAATCCCAGCACTTTGGGAGGCCGAGGTGGGTGGATCACCTGAGGTCAGGAGTTTGAGACCAGCCTGACTAACATGGTGAAAAACCTTGTCTCTACTAAATACAAAAAAATTAAGAAAAGAAAATTAGCCAGGTGTGCTGGTACATGCCTGTAATCCCAGCTACTCGGGAGGCTGAGGCAGGAGAATCTCGAATCCGGGAGGTGGAGGTTGCAGTGAACCGAGATCATGCCACTGCAATCCAGCCTGGCCAACAAGGGGCAACACGAGTGAAACTGTCTCAAAAAAACACAAAAAAACAAAAAAAACTCAATTCAGCAAAAACCAAAAGGCAATCAGTGAAGCAATTTATTTGATGTAGCATGTATAGTCAGGAATCTTTACCTTTTATTTCTTGCACATATGGCAGTGGGGAGGGCGTCTCGGAAGCCCGTCTTAGGTGGGGATCAGGTGCCGTCGCCCCGCCAGCAGTTGTGGCCTAATTGATATGTTTCCTTGCCCACTTGAAAGTGTCCAAGAGGAGTCAGCCGTCAGGTCTTCCTGCCAAGCCCCTCTCTCAGGCTCTCCCAGGCCTACACGGACTCTGTCTTCCTCTGCAGCAGCCACCGGGGACAGGTCTCAGTGCCACTCACGGCCACCACGTCCATCCCAGGTTTCATCACTGTGGTCCCTCTCTGAGGACCTGCCAGGACCCTGTGAATTCTCCAAGCACACAGCACCCAGCTCACCTGGAATCGGAATGCCCTTGCACTGGCGTCCTTATTAGCACCATCTTCATCCTTAGCTCCATTTCTGCAACACTGGGGATGGTGTGTCCTCACCCGTCACCCCTCGTGACGTATATATGGCAGTCACTGCTACCTGTGACATTCACGGTTCATGCCAGGAAATCACAGCACTGCAGCCAATGACTCCTAAAGCCCCAGCTCTCAATAAACACACAAAACACTCCTGTTCCTCCCTCGACACGAGTTCACTTTGACCCTTCCCGTTTTCATAGCTTTGTGTGGCCAATCAGTACTCCCAGAAAAATAGCAAAGTCACACTGTGCAGACTTGACTTAGGAGGCCGGAGAGCAGTGGGGTCAGAGAGCGAGCGACGCAGATACAGGGCACCTGCACTCGAGTATTCTGTAGCCAGAAGCAGTACTTGAGCCCTCTGGCTTCATTAACCTCATTAGAAAATGGAAACAAGTCCGGGCTATACTGCAGAAGCGAGGGGTGCCACAGAGTGCTCTCCCAGGCAGTGATGCGGACGGCTGTCCAGAGGGCCCCAGCAGTCCCCTCTGTACGAGGGACGGTCAGTGTCACCTTGCTGCAGACTACAGACCCACAGAGGCAAAGCTGCCTGGGCGGGTGAAGGTGCATGGGCTTCTCTGTATGTGTGTGTGCATACGTGTGTATGTGCCCACAAATTTGTGCATAGGTGTGGTGCTTGGGGTGAGTGTATGTGCACACTTGTGTATGTATGTGCATTGTTTGTGTGCCTGCACATACCTGCCGTGTGTCTGCCCAGGTCAGTGTGAGTGTGCAAGTCTGACCATCACCCCACTGTCCCCTCTGATCAGTCCCGCCTATGTTTTAATCAAGAGCACGTGAACAGACAGACAGCCTCTTACATTCTGTGTGTGTCCTCAGCACTGACCTCTGACAAGTCTAACTGGCCTTCTCTCCCTTCCCTTTTAGAGGGTGTTGGTCCAGGCAGCCAGCTCCGCTCCCAAAGGGGCCCAGATGCAGCCGATCTCCCTCCCCAGAGTTCAGCAGGTACCCCAGCAGGTAATGACAAGCACCGCAGCACCATGCACACCGGGGCGCAGTTAGCACTCGGCGATCTGGAACAATCTCTGAAGCATGCATCCTTTTCTGTGGCTGCTGTTCCTTGTTGTAAGCTTCAGTTTCTTAGCCAAAAGGCTTTTCCAGAAGCTGTACAATTAAAAGAAAAGAATCATTTACTGCAGATAGTTTTGCAACAAGCCAAGAAAGCTGGTGATCTTTCATTCATTCAGAAATTCAACAAGCATTCGGGAGCCGGTGAGCACCCCACGCCTGTGGGTGGAGCTCAGGTAGAAATGCAGACAGAAACAAAGGGCTCTGGACTGGAGGAGCCATCTGCTAGTGAGTGCCATACCCTCGGATGCAGGCACAACGGAGGGAATGCTGCTGACGATTTCAATGATCTAAGAACAGAGTTTGAAAGCACGGCTGACCAGCTGAGTAGCAACACAGATCATCAGCTTGGGGGCAGTCTAGAACATGGTTAGCAAACTGTTCCAGAAAAGGCCAAATTATACATTTTGGGGGGTTTGTGGTCCAGGCAGTCTCTGGAACAACCACTCAATTCCGCCATTGTATTGCAAAAGCAGCCATAAATGATACGTAACCAAATGGGCGTGGCTGTGTGCCAATAAAACTTTATTTACAAAAACAGGCAGTGGGCCAGAGTTTACCAACTCTGCCCTGCAGAATCCTGAATTAAAGTTAACTCAGGCTCCTCCCTAAAAGGAGCCCTGAGGCCCTAGAGGATGCACCACTCTTCAAGAGGGTCTTGCCTAGATTGGCAGTGTGTTCACAGGCATTTGTCAGGTGACTGTGTCCATGAGAACTAGGAAGGTTGCGGGATCACAGGAAGGAAAAGGCTCCAGACAGGCCCAGTGTGGACCCAGGGCCTCAGGCCAGTGGCTCTTAGCTCCTATCTGTCAAGGCACTCCCCAGAGACACCATGGAGAGGAGACAAAGACTAATGTATGATTCCAGAAGCTTCCACCACTTTTCTGGTGCTGGGCCTGCCCCAGCTCTTTCTGTAACTTCTGCATTTCACTTGGTCTCCTAGAATTCGACCTTTGACTTCCACCCCTGGGGGCACCACCCAAGAGATGTTAACCCCTAGGACTTGTGATTCTGGGGGTGGTGCGTTGGACAAGTACATACCATGCTCAGTGGTCCTGGGAGGGGCAGGTCAGCCCCATCCTGCAGCCTCAACCACAAGGTCACCATGACACCATGACACCCGAGCAAGCCCACTGCTGTGGCCCTCCATCTTCTCACCCCAAAATTCGGTGGACGTAGGCAGCCACTAAGATACCCTCTGGGGTGAGAGTTTGAAGTCCCACGTGCAAAGCATTTGGCTTCCACTGCTCTGCTCAGGCTAGAGTCCCTCGGGGCCTGTCAGCTGGGGCTCTGAACTGATGTTTCAGCGAGGGGAGGACAGGGCAGCGGGGGTGTGCTGGGGTCCCCCCATTGCCCCATCTTCCCAGGCATGCCGCTCCTTCCCACTCTGTTCAGACCGTCACATTCTCTCCCCTCCTCTCTGCCACTGAAGGGGCACCAGGGCCACCCACAGGAGGTGTTGGGGCCATGTAGAGTCGAATCCACTTGGCCCCCTGTACACTGCAGCCTGCACGCCACCCTGAGCCACAGACGGAGACCCTGTCGCAAAAAAACAAAAACAGAAAGCAGGGACAGTCCTGTGAGCCAAGGCTGGGCCTCTGTCCACAACTCTAGTTTCCACTGCACTGGAGGGGCGCTGTCATTCTCCCGGTCCCGCCCCACGTATACAGAGGAGCCAGGGCGTACAGACACGCTAGCAGAGCTCTGGGGATCAGTCGCAGCTCCCTGAACTGTGTGGGCCCGTTTGGAATATGTCATCTGTACATTACTGTCTCCTCGGTGTCTTTCTAGGCGTGCCGACTGTGGGCGGGAACATTGTCATTTGGTACTAAATGTTCATAAAGGCAATAGAAGACACGTCTAGCTTGAATAATCTGCAGGCAACAAATGAGGGCGCGGCGGGCGGTAACACAGCATATCCCATGTTTCAGGTGCAGCCAGCGCAGCACGTGTATCCTGCCCAGGTGCAGTACGTGGAAGGGGGAGACGCCGTCTACACGAATGGAGCCATGTGCGTGCTTCTCCCGCAGGCCACACCCAGAACCCTCTCCCTGACTCCAGCCTTTGCCACCTGGGGAGGCATTGAACAAATTCCTCTCCCTTATGCTTTTGGTGATGTGTTCACTAAATACTATTAAAACACTATTAGAAACCTGGGCAACATCTCTACAAAAAATTTTAAAATTAGCCAGACATGGTGACCAGCGCCTAGAGTCCCTCCCAGCTCGTCGGGAGGCCAAAGTGGGAGGATCGCATGAGCCCAGGAGTTGGAGGCTGCAGTGAGTTATGATCATGCCGGACTGATAGAGCAAGACCCTGTCCAAAAAAAAGGGAGCAGGGTGGGGGGTGAGGAATTAGGACATCATAACCCTATGGAGATTTCAGAAATCACAGACTTTTGTTGTTTTTTTTTTTTTTGAGATGGAGTCTCGCTCTGTCGCCCGGGCTGCAGTGCAGTGACCGGATCGCAGCTCACTGCAAGCTCCGCCTCCCGGGTTTACGCCATTCTCCTGCCTCAGCCTCCCGAGTAGCTGGGACTACAGGCGCCCGCCACCTCGCCCTGCTAGTTTTTTGTATTTTTTAGTAGAGACGGGGTTTCACTGTGTTACCCAGGATGGTCTCGATCTCCTGACCTCGTGATCCGCCCGTCTCGGCCTCCCAAAGTGCTGGGATTACAGGCTTGAGCCACCGCGCCCGGCCTCAGAAATCACAGACTTTTGTACTTTTTACTTGTAGAAAAGATAGTCTTAGGGGTAAAAAAAAAAAAAAAAAAAAGGCTAATCCTAACTCTTCATTGTGAAGTCAGTCTTTGAGATCCAGAAACCATCCAGCTCTGTGTGTTTTCCCCCCCCCCCCCCCCCCCCCCCCCCCCCCCCCCCCCCCCCCCGCCTCTGTTAAACTCTAGCTTTGTGTAATGTTAATAGAACTTGATTTTCCGCGTTGCAATGCCGCCTGGAGGTTTCTGCTCGGTAACTGTGTGATGCTGGGGCAGGAAAGTATGCGTCTCCCATGCAGCTCACTTTACTTTAGATGTGGCTCCTTTCGCCTGCTTGTCTGTCTCTGTTTGGCCTGGATGCTCCCCTCACAAGTGCAGGGGCTGTGCACGAGAACCTGGCTGTGGCTTCAGGGTTGTGAATGGTGGAGTTATACGATTCTCTAAAGCATGATGTTGAAGGTTACGAAACACACAGAAACACAGTAAGTGCATGTAACACCAGTGACATTGGAGCAAGGTCTGTAGGTCCTACCAAGGTCACGGTCTTGGTTTTGATATTGTACTACAGAGTTATAGACGTCCCCCTGGGTTAGGGTTAGGGTACAGGAGTGCACGCCTCCGAGAGGTCAAAGGGGTCCTTCCTGCCACCCAGAGGGCCTGCCCCTAGGACGCATCACAAACCTTACTCACCGATAAGGGAAGCCCACTCCTGACCACAGCTGCATTACTCAAGTAAAACTTCACATTTTCGGTCTGAATGACATAGTCACTCCTTTAATCCAGATGTTAAAGGAAGATTAGATGAATTATTGTTATCACTTAGAAATTCTTTTTTCTTATGCAATCTCATTTATTTAAACTTTTTGTTTTGAAATAATCAGAGACTCCACAAGAAGTTCTGAAATTAATACACAGAGTTCATTTACCCTTCCCCCAGCTTGCTCCAGTGGTGACACCATGCAGGACAATATCAAAACCTGGAAACCTACCAGCCAGGTGCAGTGGTGCACGCCCGTAATCCCAGCTACCGTGGTGGTGCATGCCTGTATTCCGAGGCTGAAGCAGGAGGATCACTTGAGCTCTGGAGGCTGAGGCTGCAGTGAGCTATGATTTTGCCACTGCACTCCAGGCTGGGCTACAGGAGACCCTGTCTCAAAAAAACAAAACAAAAGAAAACCCTGGAAATTGACATCGGGGTTAAACTGTTAACCAGCCCGCAGGCCTTATTCAGTTCTCCCAGTCTTTATGCACATGCTTCTGTGTGTGTGCTTGCATGTGGAGTACATGTGGCTTTGCATGTTCATGTGTGTGCCCTTGTGTGTGCATGTGTGTCTATTTCTGTGCATTTTTAGCCCATGTGTAGATTTGTGTAACAATCCCACCGTCAAGACAGAACTGCTCCATCTCCACACAGGAGCTCCCTCATGTGACCCATTTATCCACTTAGAATTTTAAGTTTTATTTTTATTTATTTTTAAGAGCTAGGGTCTTGCTGTGTTGCCCAGGCTAAAGTGCAATGGTGTGGTCACAGCTCGCTGGAGCCTCAAAGTCCTGGGCTCAGGCAGTCCTCCCACCCCAGCCTCCTGAGTAGTTGGGACTACAGGCACGCACCACCACACCTGGCTTAATCTTTTATTTTTTGTAGGGATGGTTCTCTCTGTGTTGCCCAGGCTGGTCTCAAACTTCTGACCTCAAGCAGTTTTCCCACCTTAGCCTCCCAAAGTGCTGGGATTACAGCCCTGAGCCACCACACCTGACCTAGAATTTTTTAGGGGTCAGTTTTCGATGAGTCAGCCTGTGGTCCTGAAGATTTTGCAACACGATGGCTCTGAACTTGTGCTGCATTTGAGTGTCACATGCCATGTCCAAATTGCTCCATGTGTCTGGCCTCTCCGGGCTGCAGCTTTTACATGATGTTTGGCTGGATATTCATGAACTCAGACAAGGCATTTAAATGGGACAGCATCCCATGCGTGACTTCTCTCTTTCTAACAGACGAACGGCCTACACCTACAACCCCGAGCCTCAGATGTACGCCCCCAGCAGCGCAGCTTCTTACTTCGAGGCCCCAGGCGGTGCCCAGGTGACCGTGGCAGCCTCGTCCCCGCCAGCGGTCCCCTCCCACAGCATGGTGGGCATCACCATGGATGTCGGGGGGAGCCCCATCGTCTCCAGCACGGGAGCCTATCTCATCCATGGGGGGATGGACAGCACCAGACACTCCCTGGCCCACACCTCCCGGTCATCGCCAGCCACGGTATGTAGGAGGCTCTTGGGACCAGCGGGGTAGGCCATGAGTATTCTCGCAGCAGCGGCGGCAGGGACGGTGAGTAAGAGGCAGCCAGAGGCCTGTCGTCTGCTCTGGGCCCAGGCGGCCCCACGATGGAGTCGGGGCAGCCTCAGATGGGCCATGCAACCCTAGGCTGGCCTGCAGAGTTCTTTGAACTTCAGTTGGCCATTGGTATCAAGAGGAGGACAAGTCATGCGTCATGGGCTATTTGTGAAAAGGGAATGAATCAAGCATCTCTCCACTGGTGGATGCTGCAGCCGCCTTTGCTGTTGTCATGATTGTTATCATTGTTAATATCAAGCTCTGAGAGGCGTGGATCGATCCATCCACGGGACGCCTGCACTGAATCCAGCAGGGGAGGTCTCCCTGCAGCCTCTGGCGAGTTCTCACTGCCGTGCCCCCATGCACAGTCACTACTTACCTGCTCTTCCAAAGTCTCCACATTTAAAACTCGATTTCCCATATTTACTTCTCATGCATTTTCCTTCTTAAATTAACACAAAGTAAAATGGACTTTTTGGTGTACAGCCCTGTGAGTTTCGACATGGGTAGATTTGTGTACCATCAGGACACAGAACTGTGCAATGCCCTGAAAACCCCCTCGTGGTATTTCTTAACAGTCACAACCTCCCCCCATCCCCAACCCTTGGCAACCGCCGATCTGTTCCCTATTGCTGTAGTTTCATCTTTACCAGCGTGGTGTATAAATGGAATCATACAGATTGTGACCTTTTGAGACTTGCTTCTTGTACTCATTCTGGTGCCTTTGAGATTCAGTCAAGTTGTTGCATGAATCCGAGTTGCTTTTTTTTTTTTTTTTTTTGTTACTGAGTAATATTCTATTACGCTACAGTTTGTTTATTCATTCACTAGTTGAGGGCCATTTGGATGGTTTCCAATTTGGGACGATTATGAATAAAGAAGCCTTAAATTTGACATGCAAGCTTTTGTAAGGATGTATGTTTTCTTTCTTTTGGATATATACCTACAAGTGGAATTGCTGCTGGCTCATACAGAAAGTGTATGTTTAACTTGATCAGAAACCACCAGTTTCCCAAGTGGTTGTGCCATTTTGCATTTCCACCAGCAACATACAAGAGTTCCTCTTGCTCAGCTCCGTCAGCAGCATTTGATGCTCCTGGTGCTGTTGGTATTGGCCATTCTAATAAATGTGTGGTGGTACCTCATTGTGGTTGCAACTTGCATTTTCTTTATAGCTAATGATGGTAAGCAGCTTTTCCTGTGAGTGTAGATGCTGTGGTCAGTGTCACTTCAAGTCATTTGCTTCTTTTTTAACTAGGTTGCTTGTTTTCTTATGGTTGAGTTTTTGAGAATTCTTTATATATTCTGGATACAAGTCTCCTGTCAGACATGTGACTTGCAAATATTTTCCCTGGTCTTTAGTGTGTCTTTCCATTCTCTAGAGAGTGTCCTTTGCAGAGAAAAAAAAATTTAATTTTGATCAAATCCAGTTTATCAGTTTTTCTTTTGTGGCTCATGCTTTCGATGTCACGTCTAAGAACTCTTTGCCTATTTGCACATCATGAAGATTTTCTCCTGTTTCCTTTGAAAAGTGTTATAGTTTTACTTTTGTTTTGGGTTGTTTTCTTTTTCTTTTTCTTTTTGTTTTTCTTTTCTTTTTTTTTTTTTTTTTTTTGAGACAGAGTTTTGCTCTGTCTCCCAGGCTGGAGTGCAGTGCATCTCGGCTCACTGCAACCTCTGCCTCCTGAGTTCAAGCGATTCTCCTGCCTCAGCCTCCCAAGTAGCTGGGATTACAGGTGCACACCACCACACCTGGCTAATTTTTGTATTTTCAGTACAGACAGCGTTTCACCGTGTTGGCCAGGCTGGTCTCAAATGCCTGACCTCAAGTGATCCACTCACCTTAGCCTCCCAAAGTGCTGGGATTACAAGCATGAGCCACCGCACCTGATCATAGTTTTACATTTTACATTTAGATCTGTTTCCTGTCAAGTTAACATTTGTATAAGATATAAGGTTTAAGTTGAGGTTTTTGTTTTTGTTTTTTTTGCATATGAAACAACATGCTATTCTAGCCTCGTTTGTTAAAAAAGACTACCCTTTGGGTTGCTTTAACACCTTTGTCAAAAATCAGTTGGGTTTATTTCAGAGTGTCCTGTTCCATTCCATTGGTCTGTCTGCCTATCCCTTTACAAATAGCATAGACTTAATTACTATAGCTTTATAGTAAGTCTAAACTTGAATAGAATGGTTCCTCCCACTTTATTCTTCAGTATTGTGTTGGCTATTTTTTTTTTTTTTTTTTTTTTTTTTTTTTGAGACGGAGTCTCACGCTGTTGCCCAGGCTGGAGTGCAGTGGCGCGATCTCGGCTCACTGCAAGCTCCGCCTCCCGGGTTCCCGCCATTCTCCTGCCTCAGCCTCCTGAGTAGCTGGGACTACAGGCGCCCGCCACCGCGCCCGGCTAATTTTTTGTATTTTTAGTAGAGACGGGGTTTCACTGTGGTCTCGATCTCCTGACCTTGTGATCCGCCCGCCTCGGCCTCCCAAAGTGCTGGGATTACAGGCTTGAGCCACCGCGCCCGGCCTGTGTTGGCTATTTATATAAACTCAAAGTTTCTGTATAAGTTTAGATCAATTTATCTGTATCTACAAAAAAATCTACTGAGATTTTGATTAATTTGCACTAAACCAATGTGGGGAGAATTCCCACCTTTACCGTGTTGAGGCTTCCAATCCATGACCATGGTATGTTTTCTCCATTTGTTTAGATTTTTTATTTCTTTCATCAGCATTTTGTAACTTATACAAAATTCTGTACATGTTTTGTTAGATTTATATCAAAGTATTTCATGTTTGGAGAGCTATTGTAAATGGCATTGTGGGTTTTCTTGGCATTGATCTTTAAATTTATGTTTCTAACTGTTCATTTCTAGGATTTAAAAATGGTTGATTTTTGACTGTTTATCTTGTATCCTGTAATCTTGCTGAACTCACTTTTTAGTTCTAGGAGCTTCTGGTTGCCTGCAAATATAACCACTTTTTTCTTTCTTTCCAGTATGAACAAAAAGAAATTTCATTTCTTTTTCTTGCCTTTTTGTACTGGCTAGGACCTGCAGTGAACTGTTGAAAACAGGGGTGGCAAGAATGGTCATCCTTGCCTTTTTCCCAATCTTAAGGGAAAAGCCTTCAGTAGTTCACTGCTAAGTATGTGATGTTAGCTGTAGGTTTTTCACAGATGCCCTTTTTCAGATTGAGGAAGTTCCTTTCTTTTTCTAGTTTTCTGGAAGTCTCTATTATAAATAGATGTTGAATTCTGCCAAATGGGTTTTTTTTTAAATTTATGTAAGCATATTTTTTTCTTCATTAGGGTGTTGATATAATGGATTGCATTGATTGACTTTCAGTTACACAATAACTTCTTATTTTGGTGTAAGGCTAATCTCCTGAGATAGAAGGTGATGGTCTAGCCTTGTCTCTGTTTTTTTGTTTGTTTGGTTTTGGTTCTGGTGTGTTTTGGAGTCACCCTGGCATCAGAGAGGCCCATGACTCTTGCTGTCCTCTCTCTTCCTATGTCCAGAGTGACCCCCAGGCCCTGGCTCTGGGGACAGGCATAGTGCCCCACGCCTCCTCCCTCTGTTCTCGGGAGGAGTCTTCTTTCTAGAGGCTGTGAAATTATAGGGTAGTGCCTGCTGCTTCTACCCCTAGCCACTTAGTGCCTCGGTGCCATTAGCACCCCAGGCCAGGCAGCTCGGGCAGACCAGACATACTTCTCCCCCATGGGATTGGCTGGGTGGAACTAGGTTTAGTTGTTATGGATCAGAAAGCTTTCCTCACAGACTACAGTAATTGTCACAAATGTGGCATATTTGACTTAGCAAACAACATCAACTTATAACAGTAAAATAGACTGGGATTGCAAGTGACAAATTTACTGAGAAACAGAAATGTTCTCTGTGGTTTCAGAATTACCTCGTTGCAGCGAACATGCTCCTCAGACCCTGGACCACCACCCTGGAACTGTGGTTTGTTATCTGGATTTCTCTGGAAAAATTGAATTATTAAATCAATTAGAAATCCATGAACGGGCTATGTTTTCTCACACACACACACACACACACACACACACACACACACACACACACACACCCCACCAAGCTCTGGGGAAGTCATCATCTTGGATAGGAATCTGATTCCTGGCTTCTGACTGCTCTGGTATTTATTGGCTTGTTGTTGGCATGAGAACATCCAACAAGGATGCCACGGAAATTCGAGAGACTTTCCGAGAGCCAAGAACAACAATGGCCCTGAAATTGCAACAGAAATACGACTGCTGGACCCGACATTTGATGTCTACCAGTTTGTTCATGTCAGAGTTTTGTTTCTTGGGACTATCGCTTAGTCCTAAAGACAGAGCATGAAGGCTGAAGCAAGTCCTCACTTACAGCCTCGACGAGTGATTCCAGACTCTTGGTGACCAATTTTCTCGAGTATTTATTTCCAGTTAAAATGTCATCCGTATTATAAATCTCAAACGTTAATTGCCCAAATGGTGAATTTTTGATACACACATTTTCTATTGTGGTTTTTTTCACTACATGGAGCAGGGACACTAAAGTGAGAGTTTTATTCTTGTCCTTTCTGCCCAAGTGGAGCCTCCTTTTTTACCCCTTGGATTGTGTCCAGGGGATGCTGACGGTCAATCGGGGGGACAGGAAAGAGACTCCTCCAGCCTGGGAGCTGCCCTCAGTGGGCCCTTCCTCCCGCAAGACCCAGCGCTACATGAGGCCGTGCTGTGAAAACACACAGCCTCTGAGGGCCGCACTGTAGGCCCTGATGAAGAAAAAAGGCCTACCCAGTTTTTATCTTTTTCAAAATTGTTCTCATACTTTAATGAATCTTTTCTCATTTTATTAGTTTAAATCTGACTAATACAGCAGAAGATAAAAAAAGTCTAGTGGATTTTAATTGCAGCTGAAGTTAAAAT